TATGAAATAGATTAGAAATAGAAATAGACCCAAGAGTCCGTGGGAGCCCCGAACCCTAGTGGGTGGGGGTCCTGGTGGCGTGACAGTTAATGAAAGGTTGGGGGTTTGAACCCTCCGGTCGCGCTGCAGGAGACAGACCTGCCAATGACGGCCTCCACACTGTTCTTTTTCAGTTGTGCTATCCCCGCCCCCGCCCCCAAAGGGCACACTTAGTGACAGACTCTCACAAAACCATATTCATGGAACACAGGGGTTGTGCCGAAGCCAGACCCACTGTTACAGAGTCAGCTCTGACTGGTGGTGAGCCCATGTGTCACTAGCTGAGTTGTTGTTGTTGTTGTTGTTGTTGTTGCTGCTGCTGCTGCTGTTGTTGCTGTTGTTGTTGTTGTTTGGTGCCATCAAGTTGGTTCTAACCCACGGCCACCCTACACGCAACAGAACGAAATGCTGCCCCGTCCGCACCAGCCTCACCATTGTGCCTGAGCCCATTGTTGCAGCCACAGCGTCAGTTCATGTCAGTGCGCCCTTCCTCTGTTTCCGGCCCCTCCCCTTGACCAAGCACGGTGTCCTTCTCCAGGGACTGGTCTCTCCTGACCACACGTCGAAAGCACGTCAGAGGAAGTCTCGTCATCCGTGCCTCTAAGGAGCCCTCTGGCTGTACTTCTTCCAAGACAGATCGGTTTGTCCTCTTGGCCGTCCATGATGCGTTCAGTCGCCTTCTCCAGCCCCACTGTGCAAATGCATCTGTTCTTCTCCCGTCTTCCTCACTCCGTGTCCAACTTTCTCATGCGTAGGCGGTGATGACAAGTACCATAGTTTGGTTCAGGCCCCCGTGAGTCCTCAAAGGAGGTGCAGGAGATTTACCGAAGGCAGCACATCTTCGGATCTCTTGACTGCTGCTTCCATGAGCATTGATGGTGGATCCTTGACAGCTTCAACCTTTTCTCCACTGATCATGGTGTGACCCATTGGTCCAGTTTGGGTTTTTTTTTCCCATCTTCTTTACATTGGGTTGTAATTGAAGGCTGCCATCGTTGATCTTCATCAGCAAGTGCTTCAAGTCCTCCTCGCTCTCAGCAAGCAAGGTTATGTCATCTGCACACCTCAGGCTGGGAATAAGCCTTCCTCCCATCCTGATGCCGCACTCTTCTTCAGAGAACCCAGCTTCTCTGAGGATCTGCTCGGCATCGGGATTGAATAAGCATGGTCAGGGGATGTCGCCCTGATGCACCTCTGTCCTGACTGTAAACCAGGCAGTAGTGTCCCCTTGCTGTGTTAGAACCCCGTCTCTTGGTCCATGTACCGGTTTTAGATGCGCACAAAAATTCTCAGTCTTTACAGTTTGAGACATAATTCCTCAATGGCGGATTTTTTGAGGGGGAAGGGGGCGAATTGCCGGCCGTTCCTGGGAGGGACCTCGGTCAGCTATCAGCTGAGTTCATCCATCCTTTGCGCCTCCCTGGGGTCCTGTGAGGGGGTCGCCTCCCTTTACTGTCAGTGTCTCGGTCTGTGGGTCGGTCCA